TAAACGTGGCCACTTGAAAGGTGCTAATACAATGAGAGTGACAAACCCATTTCAACAGGTTTTATTTTACCCTAAAACAACACATCTACATGGACAGTGTGTTGAGAGTTTAAAGCTTATTCAGACAGAAGGCCCACCGAGACTCCGATACTGAAGTTATTAATATTAGCCCATGAGACTCCCGGGATAACTTGGCTGCTCTCCAACATTATGCTGAGGACAAACTGCAGCCAGGAGCAGTACCTGTCTAAAGGCGGAGCAAGACATCGAACCAAACCATCCAGACTGTGGTGTTCACTGTATTCTAAATTTGAGCTTAGAACAGTATACGTTTCTCATCTTAAAGCCAATTGTACCAGGGAGGTTTGGAAACCAGTAACTGAGGACAGAATCCTTACCCTTCCAAGGATAATAATGGCAGCAAAGTGAGCGGGAGAAAATTCAGAATTGTTTAGAAGAATAGCCTATGTTGGAAGTTAGCCAACTTCCTTACTCGCTCCTTCCTTCATGATCTATATCCACTCCTTCCAGGTCAAACGGCCTGAACTGCCTCATAAAAACCCACGATTTCACTTAGCCGACCTCCATCTAACAGGTGTGCTTCTCCAGCCCTCTCCTGCGGGCTGTGACCTGTAACATCCAGCGTGCCTTCCCTCCCCTTGTTGATCACCGAGGGTTTTTTTTTAAATTTATTTTTTATTGATTATGCTGTTACAGTTGTTCTATTCCCCCCTTCATTCCCCTCCACCCTACCCCCTCGTCCCCACCATTACCCCCCCTTTAGTTTATGACCATGTGTCACAAGTTCTTTAGATTCTGTATTTCCCATACTATTCTTGCCCCCCATCTATTTTCTACCTACTGTCTATGCTACTTATTTTCTGTACCTTCTCCCCCCTTCTCCTCCTCCCACTCCTCTGTTGCTAACTCTCCATGAGATCTTCATTTCTATGGTTCACTCCTGATCTAGCTGTCCTCTTAGTTTGCTTTTGTTTTAGGTGTGGTTGTTAATAACTGTGAGTTTGCTGTCCTTTCACTGTTCATGTTTTTTTTAACTTCTTTTTCTTAGATAAGTCCCTTTAACATTTCATATAATAAGGGATCACCGAGGTTTAGCACCTCAGTCCATGTGCCCAAAACAGGCCTCAGGAGTAGCAGCCACCGCACTGGGCTACATCTAACTGCACCTCGGGCCTCGACAGCACACGCCAGGCTGTGGCTTCCAGGTGGCCCCTACGTTCTGCTGTGGCCGCTCTGCCTCCAGTCTCCCTGCTGCCTGCCCACCTGAGCTGGGCTGCTCAGAGCGGAGGCCTCCATTCCCTCTGCGCCCCCGGAGGAGGGGCCCGTGCGTGAGGCAGGCTTGTGGCTTCTCTGCCAGCTAAGACAATGACCCTGCCTTCCACGGCGCCCCCAGGGCATGCAGCAGGGAGAGGAGGGCCTGTCTGGTGTCTTCAGGCTAAGCCACATTCTCCAACAGAGTTCACCAGATGCTCTGCACCTGAGGGACTTACTAGACATGGGCCCAGCCAGGAATAAAGATGACACTTGGGTCTCCATTTTGCTGGCAACCCTTCTATGAACTCTGCCACCAGCCAGACCCTTTAAGGAGAGGGATGGGTTGCCCCAAACCCCACCTTACACCCCTCATACATTTATGGTGACATGACTCAGATGTAACAGGACAGCCACCCGGGTACCCACAAGGAGGTGGCAGCTCCTGTTTTGACAGGAGTGGCTACTGAACAGGAACTGGCCGGCCACCATAACAGGTCGCAACAGCTCTCACTGCAGTGATCGCTGCAGGAGCAGCACAGCACTGGCTGGAACCCTCAGGTGCCAAACAAATGACATTAGAGGGGAAAAAATCCATGCTAAAAATCAAGAGTAGTTCTTCTTTGGTGCACACAATGAGCAAGCAGAAACTTGGCCTTGAGCAAAGTGAGAGACGGGAGGGAAGCTCTCACAGTGGCCCCAGACCTGAAGGGCAGTTCTGCTTCTCCTGGGCTCTGCAGTCCTGGTGGAGAGGCCCAGGACAGGTCACTGCGAAGCCGGCTTTTCTTCAAGCCTAGCGGGGAGCCACAACGGCCCCAGCAGGCAGGCCTCTGGGGTGGGAGCTTCTGGAGCAAAGTCACTGCTCCCCTTTCCTTCTCCGGCTACAGCCCGGGGCTATGGGCCAAGGCTGTCAGAGCACCAGGACGGTTATCTTAGAATCCCCATTGTGGCTAGCAGCGTGGCCACCTGCCCAAGTCAGAAACCCAGCTGTCATTTGCTGCCCAGCACAACCCACATCCAAATTTACCCCGTTCGCAGCTGTCAGTGCTGTAGGCTGGGCCCCACTCTCTCAGCTGGAAATGCAAGGGCCCAAGTAAACGGTCTCCCTGCCCCTGGTGAGTCAACAGAGCAACCTTTCGAAAACATCCATCTTGTTCTCCTCAGTTTAAAACTCCTCGATGGCTTTCGGTGTAAAACCCAAAACACCATCACAGAACATCTCTAGCTGCATCTTGCCTCGAATTCTATGTTATTTAGCTGACTGGTCTTCCAACGCCAGCATACACATCCTTTTCTCTAACTACCCGACAGCCCAGTCTGCTACACACTCTTCCACTTTGCTCCCATTCTCCTTTCTTAATGTGAAGCCCTTATCACACAGCACAATGGCGTCGGGTTAGGTGTCTATCTCCTCCCCTGGCGGAAAAGCTCCTGAAGTGCACAGACCACGTCCTCCATCTCTGGATTCACGACACCTAAGGGTGGCTCTCCGAGGGCCGGTGGCCCCAAAACATGAGTAAAACACAGTCCTTGCCCCTGAGAAGCACAGTCCACTCTAGAAGACATTACTCAACCTAGAATCCAGGGCAAGTGCTACTTGTAGCTTGTACCTGACAGATGTGTGATCCCAATTCTACTGAAACATCGTCCTCTCTCCACTTCCATCATCGTGTACACAGCACTCGTCACACCGTTGAATTTCTGCTTGACTATCTGTCAGAACGCTGGGCCACAGACAACGATTGGGAGAGAGGCAGAGAGGGTGTGCTGTTCATCTTCGAATCTTCAGTGCCAACCATAGACTCTGGCGTGTAAAGAATATAGATATTGACTATATGGAGTAATTAACCACCCTTCCTAGGGGATTGGGAAGTTATCAAGGAGAACTAAGACAAGAAGATGGACATTATCACTGAACTTGAAAGTCATCTCCCAGAATGAAAGGGAAACAAACCAACGGCATCGGAGCAAAGGCACCCAGTGGCGGGGCAGTCTGGCGAGGGCCCTTGACCAGCACAGCTGATTTGAGGAGGACACCCAAAGCACACCCAAAGCCTGAGGACGTTCTGCTATCCTCTGGGGAATCCCTGGCTGTCCCAAGAGACTAAACGGTGAGGAAGTGGTTATCCAAGATCTCCTGTCCACTCACCAAACACCGAGGGGTTCTGACCCGGCAGGAGCGGGTGTAAATCCTCGGAAGTCACGTGAGTGAAAAGTGGTCACAACAAAGACACACAAAATTCAGCACTGAGACATCGTCCTTTCTCACTCACTGCAAACCAGGTACTGGCGCTGGCCCAAATCCCAACAGGATTGAGGATGAGACCCTAGCAATCAGCCCCCCAGTCTTGATTCAAGTGTGCCATGCAACTGATTTGGGGAGCATAGTCTGTAATTTTTTATATCAGGTTTCAATTTTTAAAAAGCTATAAAAAATATGTCTCAGAAAAAGCAGCCCAGTAATTTCACGTAATGGAACTGCAGTTAACAGTGACTCTGTAGAATATTTGATGTGACAGGACCCACGCCTTCCAGGTGACAGAATCACAATGAACTTCAGGCCTCGTTCTAAGCAAACCCTTAAATGTGCATGGAAGGCAAAGAATGAAGCCGAAATGAAAATGCTGTATTTTGGGGTGTATTTTTAATTTAGGGAAACCTGCTCCAGGGAGTTTACACACACCACAATACAATCTCAGCAAGCTGAATTTTCACGAGCCTCTTATTACTAGTTCAGATTCGGTCTCGTTTCTCTAAACTACAAGGTAGAGCCAGGCCAGCAGACGGTCTCAGAACAAGGCCCTGGACCCTCCTGTGCAGGAGAGTGGGCTGGACCTCCCTGCTGTCCACTCTGTGGAAGGGCTTAGCCTGAAAGAGGGCTCCTCGCACTAGGGGCCCACCGAGGCTGCACTGTTCCGCCGCACACAAAGAAAGGGGGACAAATCCAGCTGCTGCTCATAGTTGAATACGTTCTTTAAAATGTAGCGTATAATCTCAAAAACAAAGAGAGCAGTAAAATAAGCAGAAAATCTGTTGTGCTGTTTCAAACGTTTAAAATAAGGTACATTGACGAGGATTAAGTGAGGATGTGTGATTTTGCAGCCCTTTATAAATAGACATTCTTTACATCAAGAAAACAGGGGAAAGAAGAAAAAATGGCGCTACAGAAATAAGGAATATTCTAAATATGGGGAGCAATTCGAGAGACAGAGCGACGTGGAAGGAAAAGTCCTCGTCCAAGAATCAGTTCAAGGTCACAGTGAGTGTTTGGGGGCATGACCGTTTTAGTGTTTCTGGGTTTGCACAAGGTCTGCCATGATGAAAGGCCAACCGGGTTGGAATCCCTCCTCATCAGAATTCAGATGCATCCACCCGGAGATGCCCCATGACATCGCGTCTGGTATATAAAGGGGCAGGAGGAAACAGATGTGACAAAAATTCCCTCACAGTAATATCTGACGAAAAACAGTTTAGGCCAGTTGATCATTTATTCTGCATAGGGCTAGAAGAACAAGCTTATCAGTTTACATTCTTCTCAACTTAGAAACATATCTAATATAAGAAGGGTTGTTATATCAAATTCATACCATGCTGTTTGCATTCATTATTAGTAAAAATATGTATAAACAGGACACTGACAGACTTTGTAATATGCCTTTTTTTTTAACTCAAATTTGTCATGGCTTTAAGGAGATATGTGATTAGGCATCCAAGCTCTTCTTAAATGATAAGTTTTTAAGTTATTTATTTCAATATATTGTTCAATGTTGTACACATTTTGGTTTTCAATATAAAAACATGAGATGAACAGTTTATGATTTTATGTATTCATGCAGAGTGAAGAAGAATTATGCTGAATCAAACTCCCAAACCCAAATATCAGGGTAACTGAGTCAAATGTTTTTAAGTTGACTTGGTATGTGCCTGTCTCTTTATGTACGTTTATTACAATTAACACGTGCACATCCAAAACAGATCTGAAAGCTGAGTGTTGTCTGAATTCTTCAAACTCAGCAGTTCCATCATTTCTTCCATTACGAAACCAGAAGACTTAAACATCACCAGAAGTGCAGACCCAGTAGGGCCGTCCCTGTTATTCCTTAGCAGTGACATCTGCTTCCAGTTTGGCCAGGTCTGAAGCCAAGGGTGGAACCTGGCTTCGTCCCAAAGCGGCTGTGTGAACCCCTGTGAACACTGGTTTGGACAGACGCACCCCGCGGGGCTCACGCTGTAAAACAGAAACATCTGAGGCCAATCCCGAACCCACCCCGGCAGGGCTGACTGCAGAGAGGGCTGCTCAAGACACGGCCACGGGCTTGCGCTTCACGCTGCTCAGACACATGCTGCTGCAGTCCCTCCCCCACAGACCCAGTCAAAGGAAAGTCGGGAAAAAGACTTTTCAAGGGAACTTCTAAAAGCCAACTCAAACCCAAGGTTGCGTTTCAGTCTTTGATTTAAAAAGAAAAAAAAAGATGTCACCCAAACACTTATTTTTCATTCCTGATTCTGTGAAAAGGCTTCAGAAGGCCAGCGCTGGCATGTGTCCAAGCCATATCCTCATCACTTGGTGCTCAGGGCTTTTTCGGGAGGTGTAATTAATTCGATTTGTTTTTTGAGGAATCGGTGGGGCTCATTCCCCCACTGTGTTTCTTGTTCCCCCAGAATGTGCACCGTTCCCTTTGACCTTCACGCCCGTTCTCAGAGTTGGGCTACACAGGCAAACCCTCTCCTTCACTGATGAGCGTGTGAGCCGGTGCCAAGTGCTCACTGAAGTACAGCTGTGATGCCAGAACCACGTGCTCGAGTCCAGAACTTCAATTTCTTAGGCAGAAGCATCAAAAAGATGTGTGACCACTAATTTACTAAGAAAACTGTTGATGTGCACATATGGGTGAGATGATCCCCTTGGAAACTGGCCACCACATCAAATCTAGACCAAAACTGAGAGATCACTTGCAGACAGTGGCCACAAACTGGCCCTCCACTTGTTTTAAACTATGGAACAACCTCACCGACCCTCTCGAGGAACCTCTTTCTCTGGTGCGCAAGAGAAAGGCACTTAAAAATCTGCAGCTGCTGTGAGAGCAGCAGGAGAAGCTGCTAGAACCTCAGAAGCCCAGGGAAAAATGAAAGAACCCCCAAGGAAGTGCCTGGGAAATGCGCATAATATTTGTATTACCTTTAAGATTTTAAACATAAAAAATAAAAATCATAACATTTATTTTTCCCTAAATAGCCTGTTAAACGTTAAGTGACTATACTAATTAAACTGGCACTGAAAGATTAAGGTGACTTATACTTAAACTTAATTCCTCTTTAGGAAGACTGCTTTAAATCTAGCAACAGAGACTCGTCATCCTCTACTTGCACCTGGGGTTTAAAGGTAACTTTTAAAGGCTCGGGGGTCGGCATTTCCCCTCCGTCGTGGGCAGGACCCCCCACCCCGGCCTCCTCTCGGTCTGTTTCACTGAGCTCCTCAGTGTATAGCTCCCCGCCGGGGCCCAGAGACGCGCCCCTGGCAATGATGTCCACGCCCATCTCCCTGACCTCTTCGGGACCTTCAGTCCCCGTTCGACCTTTAGCTTTCCGAAGGCTACGTATCTTAAAAGCTTCCTTGGAGGGAGCTGCGTTAGAAATAGATTTCTTAAATCTTTCCCCCGACTGCTTCAGCCTCTCCCCCGACTGCTTCAGCCTCTCCCCCGACTGTCTCAGCCTCTCCCCCGACTGCCGCAGCCTCTCTCTCCTCTCCGGGGTCACTATTCTAGTTCTAATTCTGTTGACCTTCGTGTCAATGTTCTGCCGCGTCCTCTGCATGTTTTCTTTGGAAAACGCCTTCTTGATATTGTCAATGTGTTCCTTGCCTGACTTTTTAAGCTTGGTGGATTTGCTTTCTTCAATGTAATATTCTTCATCAGAAGACAGATCTACTGGGGGGTCGAAGATGTCTTCAGTGTCTTCCTCTTGATTGTCGGTCAGGGTTTTGTCTTTAACGACAGACAGGGAGGTTGGACACTGGACGTCCTCCTGAAGGACAGAAAGAGAAAGCGTGTTAGAGACCAGTTCCTACCCCTTCGGCCGCGCCTTCAAACCTCCTCCGCAGGGGGCTGATCCTCTGGCCACTCCTTCCGTGCTGGCATTTCTCCGGGTTTCTCTTCCCTTGGCCCTTGTTTCTTCTTCATCTCCCAAGCTCACCCTGAACAACCTTATCCACTCCTCCACCTTCAGACCCAATTATAAGCACATTCACAAATACTTTCTCTTTCCCTCTCCCCTTACCTGAAGATGAAGACACATTTTTAAATAACGGACAGACTTCTGCACCTAGACGTAACATTACATGTCCCAAACTCCAGGCCCGCCCGTCTTCCTCTCCACAGCTACTACCCTTCCTGGGCCACTCCCCACCCAGGTGCCGGCTACAAACCCCAGAACCACAGTCCCAAATCTTTCCTCTCCTGCTCACCCCACACCCCACCCACCGCTCTCTGCGCACTGTCAACAATACTCGCCAACAGCCCACCCCTCCTCCTTCCTCCTTGCCTCCACCACGGTCTTAATTCAGGTCCTTGTCACCTGAGGCCTGGATTTGTGTGATACTTCTACCTCCAAAATGTCACCTAGGCATTTCCTGAGAAATATTTCTGAAAGCATAGCTCTGACCACATCCTTTCTCTGCTTTAAAACTTTTCAGAGCTCATCAACACTCAAGGGACAGCATTCGAACCCTCCAGTGTGATGAGAAGGCTCTTCAGTCTGAGCTAAGCCCCTTTAACACACTCCCAGTCCAGCACCACCCAGCCGCCCTCAATCCCCAAACACACAGGGCAACGCTGCATACATGGTTCTTGCTGCCTTAAATGCCCCTTCACCTCTTTCCAGCCTTGTAAAAGACATCTTCCTTTAAGAATAGATTACTATGTCCCCACCTTCCCCAGGAGGCTAGTTACGTCTCCACTTTACATCAAAAGGGCACGCGTATACCTCTACTTATTCATCACAGTGTGAGTTGAACTGGAGCTCTACTTATTTATGAATGGCTCCCCGAGGCTTTCACTTGATGGTAAGTTCATGAAGCAAAGATGTGTCTTATGTTTTATGCCCCGTGTGACTGGTGGATCAAACCAGAGGTTTGTGTCTTCATCCAACAAACAGTAACTAAGCACCTGCCCTGCACCGTGAATGTGCTGGGAACTGAGAACCTCCTATGGGGAAAAAGCACCAGCGTAGAGCTTATCATTGCAGAGAGAAATAAGCAAGTTAAATACATACAAAGGATGTTGGATGGTGATAAGAGTTAAGAGGTGAGAATAAAGCAGGGAAGGGGGAAATACAGTGCCGGGGAGGGTGCTCGGAAAGCCCTCACTAATGCGGTGACACCCGAGCCTAGACGGGCAGGCACTGCGTCCATCTGGGAGGGAAGGAGAAACAGCGAGGAGGGCAGAGTGGCTGGGGCAGAGTGATCACGGGCCAAGAGGAAGAGGGGCGAGGGCAAGAGAGGCAGCGGGAGGGCCAGACTGTGTAGGGCTCCGTGACCAGTACCAAGGCCCCTGGCTCTTACTTTGAGTGTGAGAGGAAGGCTCTGAAAGAGCTTTGAGGAGAGTAGTGACATGATTTGACCCAGGCTATAAACGGACCACTCTGTTGAAAATAGGCTATGGAGGCCAGATAAGAAGCAGGGAGAACGGTTGGAGGCCATGGGATGAGTGAGGTGAGAGATGGATCAGGGGGCTGGATCGGGGGTGGTGGTAAGAAGCAGTCTGACTCCTGATCCGATCTGAAGGTAGGAGCCAACAGGACCTGCTGCAAGATTGGGATGTGGAGTGTTAGAGAGGGTCAGTGATAATTCTCATGTACATGGTCTAAGCAGCTGAAGGGTAGCTTTGTCATTAAATGAGATGACAAAGTCGGCAGGAGGAAGAGACTGGAGGGGAAGGATGGGATCCAAACATAAAAATGCTGAGATGCCCCCTGGAAATCCAAGCAGAGACGATGAATGGGCAGCTGAGTATGTCAGTTTGGAGTTCAGGAGGGAGGTCTGGACTACAGATGCAAATTTAGGAGTCATTAACATAAAGATTAAATTAGAAGTCATGGGATTAACGAGATCACATTGAGTGAATGACTCTACATTCTATTATTCAGACTCCCTGGGGCCATGATGTGTTTCAGAATTCAGAATATTTCAGATTTGGAGAAAATAATATGATGCATTGCATACTATTTCAAGTGAGATCTTCGGAGGAAACATTTTCATGGCAAAAATATGAATATTGACCCTAAGGTGGGCTAAAGACTAAACAGCCTCAGGCTATTTCAGGTCAGGTTTTGCCATCAAATGAGTTCAGGTCTAGCTGGGTCTTGCTGCCAAAATAAGTTGTGAAAAAAAATCAGATTTTTTTGGATTTTAGTGTTATAGATAAATGGATTTTGGACAAGTAGATGTCCATCTTTTTTTGGATCAAAAAAGATGAGAAAACCAAAAAGAGAAATATCAGCCAATGAGGCTGGAAGAAGTCTAAGAGAGAGTAGCACCTCCCACAGCTAAAGAAAAAGAGAAGAAGTTCCAAGACAGGGAAGGACCAACTGTCAAATGTGTCAAGAGGGAAAGAAAGAATGGGAACTGGGTTTGGGAACATGGCAGACACTGGTGACCCTGAGAACCAGCCCAGGAACACGGCTGCAAAAGAAACCCAAATCCCTATTAAGGGATTGTATCTAAAATTTAACAGGCAAAACTTTAAACATCACAAGACTTTTAACTGAATTCTTGAGGTTAAAATTTCTAAAGCAAACCTGCTTGATATCCAGATTAAACCAGTTCAAAAGAATATGAATAAGCAGGTAAGAAACATATTTGCAAGTATTCCAAAAACCTACCAGCCTGATAGTCCAGAAGGTATCCCTGGAACCTTATTTCTTTGGATACTTATTTAAAATTAAATTCTTTGGCTCCAGTATTGGAGAGTCTAGGAGCTTAGGGAAAATAAAGGCAGGGTGGGCGTCTCACAGGCTCTCTGATGAATCAGAGGGAGCAAAATGACTCCTCCGCCTTCCTGACACCTGCTGCAGGGAGCGGCTTCCGCCACACTGAGCGGGCTGGTGTGGCCTGAGAAGGCATAATTAGAAGAGAAAAGAGCCCCCCAAATAACTACTGCTCATTAGGGGCAAAACCCCTCACAATCCTGCTGTGAAATCAGATATGACTTAACTCAGGGATCACATACCCTTCCTTCAATAGCACAACAAACTACATAAAAGCAGACTTAAAAACCAAAGAAAAGAGAGGTAGAGTCGGGGAAAGCACTTGTTACATGGTTCTCTCTGTGGTAACTCCTGTGAGTTAGAGGTACCGGGAGTCAGCAGTGAATATACTGTAATAATAATTGAAGGTTGTACGGTTGAATTAGAGTTGATTTCCAAACACAATCATAATATACCTATGTCAAAGCCAAGGTTAAAGAAAAAGATGATCTTTATAAATAAAACAAGTACTCTGGACCATGCCTGAGGATCACAGTAACACAGCCTGGGGAGTTTGGAATACAGACAAGTCTAAGAAGCATCATTAGGGATGGCCCGATCCCTCGTCAGGTGACCATGTGTCTCAGTTACTGGGCCAGACTGGTAGAAGATACACTGGGACCCCTGGCTTGTGTGATAAGAAAGCCATCAAAGTGAAAGTATGTTCAAAGAGGAATGATAATTGTATGAGAAATAGCAGATTTTTTTTTTAATGACGATGTCCAGGATCAGTTGAAAGGTCAGTCGCACCCAACGGTGGGAGATGAAATACCAAGAAAGATTGCCACCAGAAAGATATATCCAGGGAAAACTTTTTGATGAAAGACCCTAATGGAAATGCCCATATCCTGTAGCTGAATTACTCAGCTTCAAGTTAATTTCAGTAGCAGGGGCATCCTCAGTATAACCACTCATATATAAAAACTATGAGAATGAAGTATAAGAACTTTAATAATAATCGTGTGAATGTGTGACTATAATATAGTGTTCTAACATCTAACAAATCATCAAATCCATGTCCTATGTCTATTATTATTTGCCTTTGTCTTTTTTCTACCAGGTCTCCCATTGTAGCTGACTGCCTATTGACAAACTGCTGCTTATTCTGAATAACTTAATTTCCTGTAATCTTCATAGCACTCTATCTTATCTTACAAGGAAAGAGATCTGACCTAACTGGCGCCTCTCAACTGCTTTTTCATACTATCTTCTATTTGCTCAAGTAACTATGGGGGCCCAAAAGCGGGGGACAAATAGCAAGTTTCAGGCAGGAAGTAGGTGAATATAGAAACATCTTAACTTTTTTAAAAGAACCACCATGTCAATAGGCAAATGAGTCAATTAGAACTTGTCAGAAACTTCTTTGCTCTCACCTCCGTAAATCTTGACTGGTACCTGGTCCATTCTAGGCACAAAGCTTCTCAGGAGAAATGCTGGATACTAAGAATGCGTGAGGCACGCCCCAGGCAAGCAGAGGGTGATATGGACCCCTTACTGCTAATGCCTTTGGAAAGTGAACTGAAGAACAGCTCCCATACTCTCCAAGACCAAATCTAGATCCCCATTACGCACACTCATGCTGGAACTGGCTGTTGAGACTGAGGTGGCTGGTTTTTTCAAATTTTTAAGCCTGGGGAAGAACCGCCAGGGACCTGGAAGGAAAGGGAAATGACACAGCCCTACTACCAACTTCCGAAATAAGCAACACTTCTCTCTCCTTCTGATTCTTCTTCCTAAACAACCACCAGGCTCTTAAAAACAGAGTCAGAATACTCCCCTGTGACTTTATCAGTCCACAGAGGGCTATGGAGAACTGACTAACGTGTACAGAACACTGTGCTGGGTTATGGCCCGCATCCCTCCTGTGGTACAAATACCTGCCTACATAATCCAACTGTGTTCCTCCTTCACTTTGTGTTGATTCTTCTAGGTTTTTCCCCTAAGCATATGGGCATCCATCCACTTAAAAAATATGGTAACTATACACACACACACACACACGAGCAGGCCTGCATGTATTACTGATTTTACACTTCAAACAAATTCTTTGACATGAATTTCTAGAGCCAAAAGGTTTGTGAATTTTTAAAGTTCTTAATATATACCAACAAAACTGTCCTCTAGAATAGTGTTGCACCAATCGGTGCTCCTGCCAGCAAAATACTGACATGCTTGGTTGTTTTTTTTTCCTACCCTTAAACTCTGAGTATGTTACGCTTTAGCAACTGCAAATATTTAAATAAGTGGGGGTGGAATTCTGCCCATGTATTCTGTCTTTTGTGAACTGTCTGATAATGACTTCCCCACTTCTCTACAGTGGGAGGAAGAGTTCACGTTTTCCTTTTGATTTGTAAGAGTTTTAAAATACATTATAAATAATGTGCTTGCCATGAATAGGGTCCTATTTTAAAAAGTGTAAGTTCAACTGTGCAGTACGTTATGCCTCATGAAAACTATTACATGAAAAACACTAAGAGAAAAGACTTTGTAATTAAATAGTAGGAATCAGCATGTGACTCCTATCTTTGTATAACTGTAATAACAGTAAGAAAAATAAGAAAAACAGCCTGGCTCATTACAAAATACAGGTTCTTATTACTGTGACTTATATATAAAAACTCCAAAAGATTCCAATTTCCAATATTCTGAAGAGCTTACATTTTATTGTTTAGGACTTTCCTAGCTCTCCATAATAATAAGGAAAGAAAACATATTGTGAGGCTACAGGTCCCCAGTTTGTTTCTCTGTAATACAGAGGCATTTTATACTAGAAGCTCCTTAGGTCTCTCCCAGGTCTAACATTCTAAAGTGGATGAGAAGGCATCATGCTAGTATGGCTAATACGCTGAAAGAGCTTTACCAATATTAAGTTTCAAAGGCAAGAAATAGCTTCAGCTCTGGTCCACAGCTCATATTACACACAACGGTTAGGAGGCTCGAAATACTGACCTGATAGTACGTTAGTTAACACAGAAACGGCTTTATCCTGAGACACCCGCTGACACAGGATCCCGCTGCACGAACATATACAATAGTTAAACAGGCAACACTGGAAGGTTCTGGTAGGATTTTTTGGCCATGCAAGGGGGTGAGAGATTACAGTAGTAACCAACGTAAACCCAAGTGCAAGCTTACCTGGAATATGACCACACGGAATTTGTTTTTCTTCATTATTTCCTCTTGCTTAGTTTCCACTTTTGTAACGTGGACTTGTTGCTTCTCCACCCGGGCCTTCACGTCTTTAATGTGAGCGCTGACCTTCCGGGTTTTCTCAAACAACTTGTTGATGATGTAGCCCGTATTGGTGTGCGACTGTGAAAACTTCAGCAGGTCGATCTGGACGGACTTGATGGCGTTCTCCATTCCCCTGTGTCTCTCTTCTATTCTCTTCTGGCTCGCCTGCACATTGTCCACGATGGTGGCGACTTTGTCCAGCACGGTCACGATGGTAAGAGCGGCATCTTGGTCATCTTCTGTCACACTGGACAGGCGGTTCTGGTGGATCTTATCAGCATTTGAAGCAGACCTATTGTGTTCCATTTTTTTTTTTAATTTCTCAAAGAGAGCTTACCACAATCAATTCTGGCACTCAGAGCAAAGAGTTCGCTTGATAACAGGCAACAAGGGCTGTTTAAAGGGTTGGAAGCCCCACCCCTGGAGACTGGTCAAGTATTTATAACTACAAATACCCATACGTGACTGTCTGCAATATGAGCCCTTGCAAAGCGCTGGGGACTGTTCCAAACATGCTTACTGACTGACGAAGGGGCTCAAATAAGACCGTGGGGAGAGAAGAGGACAGCTTTTCTCAAAGAAGTTCACCAAAGCCACCATGTTACTAACATTAAGCCTAGAAGCCGAATGACCAAAAAAGCGAACTCCAAATGCTGGACAAGGCGTTTGCCATTACATACTCTCCAGCAGCATTTGTAAAAGCAGAGGGGAACTTTGGGGCTAAAATTTGTCTATTAATTTCACATATTCATTGCACTGGCATAGCAATATCAAAGAATGCAGTGAATAAACACACCAAACAGAGGCATATAGTGAAAACATTATATTATAACATGCTTTTCCAAATCAAATATTAAAATTAATATTCAATTTTGAACATTTTTTAAATTCTATACATGCATACTTCTGAATATCTAAATTACATGTTTAAACAGCTAAATACAACATTCTACTCACACTTCAGGTCTTGAAACACCAACAATCTATTAATATATCTATTACTACAGGACAAATTTGGATAGAGAGGTCTTAGGTAATTTTTAAGCTCACTTTAAGAGCACCAATCATTAACAAGTATTTTTGCATTTTATTCACAAACACTGAGACAATTTGTTAAAACAAATATTTTCTTTAAAAATTAATGAGTATTAAAGTAGTTTAACTGATAGAATAGGCTTTATTCCAATCTGTTTGTTAAACAGACTATTTTCACAATATCTAAATCTACTTTTCAGTGATCTGTTCCATCATCGCTACCAGATACTTTTTTGAATTATCAGAATTATTTTTTCCAAGACAGGAATAATCAAATTCCAGCCCATACATCTCATAAATATTTTACATCTAACACACACAGCTTTACAGTTCATGCGACTGGCAGTGTCTAAAAAAATCAGTTACTAAATCTCAAAACATTTAAATGCCTATTTAAACACAGTGTCTTCTAAAATTTTTTTTTGTAAGAAAAGTAATCTGTAAACATCTTTACCTTTAGTTCATGCTTGGTCATTTGCTGTGGTCACTGTGGAAGAAGTGGGTGTGGCTTTAGAACCATTTGTGAATGGTCCACCTTTGCAAAAATATTACATTCCATGGGCAGAGAACAAGTCTTAGAGTCACCATGTGGTACAAATATATGAAATCAATTTTTATATTTAGAAACATAAAACAAAGACTTCTAAACAGTCCAAAACTGCTGTAGCTGAATATTCTAAATACGAGCCAACTGTACTACACTAAAAATGTCCAAAAATAAGGCCTCTGAAATAAATATTTCCATTCTTTAAAAAAAGACATAATAAATGTACATCACATGGTCAGTGTACATATAAAAGTCACTTTAAACCATCCTAGATGACGTATCTGAAGTGAAATGACCTAGGTTCTGCTTCTGTCGTCGTCCTCTATTGTTTTTAGGGCATTTTCTGTTGAGTTAAAAAAAAAAAAAGAAAAAGAAAAGTGTCATTTTGTTTAGGATATTTCAGGTGTTTCCAGAGTAATGCACATTTCACACAGAAAGCCATATTGCATGACGTCACACGGGAGAGGAACAGGGTGCCATTCGATGCAACACAAGGTGAGGACCGACGCCCCAGACTGCTATCTTCCTGACAAAGTTGGGAGGTAAGAGGGCTAGACACATGACACAGGTGTGCACACAAGCAAAATTCATTGCCAGGGTCTCTACTGCCGACTGGCATCCCCCAGGGGAACCCACACCCTTCCTCTGGTTGGCAACACCCCCGCCACAGTGACTGGTAACATACAAACCCATGACAGCAGAAAGGATCCTGGCCCATGTACCTTCCCTGAACACTGACGGCACCCCCACCAAGATGACAAGAACATTCAGGAAGAAATATGCTTATTTAACCTAGGATAGGCATACACAGGAAATGCCTAGAGATTTTAGGCGATGACTCAAAAGAGGTCGCCCCACACCCTGCTTGGGCAGACCACAGAACCCACTAAAGAACAGCCGTGCTGGGGGTGAGGGGTGTTGCTGCCTCCGCTCTCACGTCACCATGCTGGTTTCTCCACAGTGGAGCAAATCTCACCGCGCTGTGACTGTGTTTCCACCTGTCCCCTCGAATGCAAACGTATGAGCTCTTACTACGCACAGAGCACAGTACTACACAAGGTGGAATAAAGGACCGGGATGAATTCTGGTAGTTCTGAGCTTGGGCTCCGCTAAACACTCGCTGTGTGGCCTCCTATTCCTCTATGTAAAATTTTAGGAGTTAGACTAACCTCTGAAATCTCTGCCAGCAAAAAATTTATACTCCAATGGAAAGTCTTGCAGCCACAAGGTCTCCCACCCTAAAGTTCCATGTTTTTAGTCAATTTCAAGAGCACCACTTTGCGTTAATTTAAAAGTCTTGACAGTGACACTTCCATTTTATGTATTTTCACAAGTTTTATCCTACTGATCCCCATAAAAAATATTCTGAGGTGGTGCTGGAATCATCTCTATTTCATAAATGGGGACACGGGTTGAGCTGTCAAGCACCCCCTCTTTTACCTGTCACTAATTCACCGTGACCTTGGAAAAGGTCCAACTTCCTGGGGGCCGTGGCTTTTTTATCTATAAAATAAGGGGGTTTGGCTACGATGAGTTCCAAGGTCCCTGCCATTCTGTCATCCTACGAGTCTAAAAACAAGAAAAAAAGAAAAAAGATTTCAAACATAAAAAAAGAGAATTTTACTCCTGCGGGCTTGATAAGCGGGGTCAGCGGGAACATCCTTCTAAAGGAAGACTCCTCGGGGGGGGGGACAGCCCCCATGGGAAAGGGAACGGCTGGCCCACAATGGACTGCGTGGGAGAGGCAGCCCTTAAAAATTCAAAGGAGACACGTCCAAGTAATTACAATGTTCTAAATCCAAGAGAGCAAGGCCCTGTAGGACAGAAAACACCACAATAAAAAAGAGAGGCCTCAAGGACGGATCTAGGATAAAGCCAGTGAAGATGACCCTCTGGTCACGGAGACCGTGGGAGGCAAAGATATGCTGACATGGTTAAAAACGTACCGTGGTGTCCCAGTGTCTGTGAAGACAGGAAATGGGTCTGGGGTATAAACTGGAGGGCATGAACTTGAAGACTACCTGCCAGATAATTTTACTGTAGCACTTGAGGGTTACAGCACACTCAGAACAGAAGCACAGAGCTCAATATAAGCTGAACTAGGATTTGCACAAGGGCTTAACTACCTCTCTGATCTTGGGTAAGGAACTCCCCACCCCAGGGCTTTCATCTCCTCATTCCTTGAGAATGAAGGGGTTGAACTCAAAGTTGCTTCCCACTGACTCTGACATGCTTTGATCTTCTTAAAGATCGCACTATCGCAAGGCCTCAAAATCTTCCCTCACCTTTACCTTACGTCTTTCTTTCACCTTCCAAATCATTTATTACTCTACCCGTTCTTGCCTCTAATAATGTCCTAAATGGTCTCCCCTGACCTCACATTTTCTCTCCTCCAGTGAATGGTGCAGAAGACACTCAGATTAATTCTCTGAAAATGTTTTATGCCAAATCTCTCCCCTATCCAAAACCCTGAACTGTTACAAAGTCAAGTTGGAGCCTTGCTCCCATGCAGTGGTCATACTTGGCGAGTGTATCTCCCAAGAGGACTCAACGTGAACCCTCCTCTGGAGGGTTCCATGGCAGGGGGAGTGGTTTGCGGATAGGCAGCACTCCGTCAGCCCAGGCCCTCCCACCTGCTGGCCTGGGTGACCACCGGGAAATGCCTTCCCCTTGGAGCCTATATTAAATGGCCACAGGCAGGCCTGCTGTTGCATGGGGTTTTTTTTAATCTTTCTGCTGTCATTACTTTTTATGTCAATATGTCCCTACTTTAATCTACTGCCCAATTTTATACTCAGTAGTCTTGCCTAAGGACAGATCATCTGTTCTACAGAATAAAGTCCCAGTGACTTTAATGCCTGGATTTCATGAAAAATATCTGTTACTCAGAGAACACTTTTTAACAAATCATCTCTAGATGTATCGTTTCAGCTCCAGATGGCTGAGCCTCCTGAAGGTCTGGCCTCCATCCAGACCTTGGCTAGAAGAGCCATAAATCCTTCATGGCCTGCCAATATCTGTACTTGATATGCTCCAATCCCCTGCCCAGAATAATGCAGGAAAGTATGCAGATGACATGTATAAACTTCTGAACCAAATCTTAAAGGAAGCAAGGAAGAGGCAAGCAAGAAGACACACGAGCCTGGGAAGCACACAGACACCGTGAACTTGATCTGCTGACTATTCTCAGGTCCAGTTCGGTTCTCACTTATATATTCCCACTCAGTGCAGAAACACCCATTTTATGCCAACTGCTTTCATTCTCAAGAGTCCTTTAATTTGGAGTTTAGTTACAATAAATTCCAATCGTTTCAGTTATAATACAGAACTTTAAACTTTAGTAGTTATGACTATATCCCAGAAAGTGAAGTTACATTAAGACAATGATAATAAGAAAAGGAATTTTCTTGAACCTCTGTTTTCTTCCTTTCTGGTTGTATTTACTGTGAATAAATTATATCCTCAGGGCGTAAGACACCTTGCAGTTTGGCAGGGCTTGAACACTTCCGGCCTGGCTCTTCTGTGCACGTGCTGACCATTCTAAAAGTCTACTGCTCCCATTGCTGTCCCTGAAAGCAGTTATCAGCACCAACACACAGTCCTACGATCCCTGAACCCTTTATACCATTGAATCGTCTCATGCTCCTCTCTATCTGCAGTCCAGACAGACCTGAAAAACCCTGGGAACGAGTTCTGGCCCATCTTCTAGAGAAAAAAGACAGGGAGAGGTCAGACCCACGTGGGAACGTCGGTGAGCTGATCCTAGGATTTTTTCCCTGGTAGGCTGGCAGACTTAAAGTCCCTATCGTTTTCGGGGTGCTTCAAGGTTCTTCTTTAATTTCACAGCCACCCACCTGTAGTTAAAGTTGGTACTTCTCAGGCCACCACCTACCTTGTTATGCACATGACAATGGCCACAATAATGGCGATCTGCACAGCTCCAATAATCGCTGCGATGAGAACGTGAGTGAGCTTTTGCCTGCTTGGCACTACATAGAGAATACTAAAATCTGTCTTTTCACAGTGCTGTCCAGTGTAGCCAGACTCGCATCTGAAAAGGGGGAGAAAGATTCCTATGAGAATCACAAACTGCCGCAGTTTCAGTTTTCAAAATTAAAACATGCAAAAAATGACAAATTTCAACAGGAATAGAAAAATCGGGCACTCTCCTTCCATCTGAAAAAAATTGCCATTTGTGGATTTCCTTAAACATTTTTTTATGTCTATTTTACATGGTGCTTTTTTCCTATCACTATGTCACATTCATTTTGAAAGTTGCTAAGTAGTCTTTGTTACCTTCATTTAAAAATGTACATAATATTTCATTCAGTGATGATGATAATATAGGTAACTTATTGATTCCTTGTTCTAAGACATATCAGTTATATTTCATTTTTCACAATTATAAATTAAGTGTGGTGACATCTTGGTGAATGAGTACTTTTCTATTAGTGCTATTCCTGAGGCCACGTACCTAAAATGGGACTGCTGAATAAATGGATATGAACATTTACAGTGCTTGAACACAGCACCAGATCACAGTCATGACACTTTTCGGTGCACAGAATCTAATCATTTAAGATACAGGCAAGAGATGAAAATAAGTTCTAATGACAGGAATGAAGACAAGTAGTTAAGCAGGTGCTAATCTTGGAAATTATCTAATTTCAATTAAAAGTAAATGGAAAGGCAACAATGTCACGATGATAATAATATGACAGAAGTAAGCATTCAACATAGTTAACAGAAAATTCACCATGTTAGCTGATAGAAATAAACCATATGAATTAGGTAGTCTTCAGTTGGAACTGATTAATAAAACATCTGAATTAAAAAGAGCATTACTTATTAATGTCCCATACTTCATGACCAAAACAAAAGCTTTTTAAATAGAGCACATATAACAACAAAAAGAAACCTGGGGGGCAGGGATAAAACAGGGGAAGCCGGGGGTGATGTAAGTCCACAATCCCCACCCCTGAGGTTCCTAGTCACCTGCCAGAAGGTGTCACATGGGGCTCTAAGCTTCCCAGCAGACAAAAGTAGTGAGGTAGACAGACAGACCGTGGGATTGAGAGTCCAGAAACACACCCAACATCTATGGTCGGCAGGTTTTGACAGTGGTGCTGAGACCACTCAATGGGGAAAGAACAGTCGCTTCGACAAATGATGCTGGGACAACCGGACATCCACACACAAACAAGGGAAGCTGAACCTCTTCCTCACGACATTCAGAAAAATTAACTCAAAATGGATCACAGAAATCTATGAGCTAAAGCTATAAGGCTCTTAGGGAAAGAAAGGAAGTAAATCTTTATGCCTTTATATTAGGCAATGTTTCTTAGATGTGACAGCAGGACCACAAATTTCAACAGCAACAAAAAAGTTAGATTAGATTAAATGAAAATTGAAATCTTTTGTGCACATATGGACACTATCAAGAAAGTAAAAGATATCCAGCAGAATGGGAGAAAATCTTTGCAAATTATTTATCTGATAAGAGACTTACACCTAGAATATATTTTCAAAACTTTAACAATTCATTAACAAAAAGACAAAAATTTCAAAATGGGCCAAAGATCTGAATACACATTTCTCCAAGATATACAAATGGGAAATAAACACATTAGTCTTCAAAGAAATGGATCTCAAAACCACAAAGAGATACGCCTTCATACCCATTAGAATGGCCAGAATCAAAAACTCATATAATAGCAGAGTTGGCAAGGATACTGTAGAAAATGTAAAATGTTACAGATGCTTTTGAAAACTGGACAATTTCCTCAAAAAGTTACATACAGAGTTAGCATTTGGCTCAGCAATACCACTCCCAGGCATTTACCTAAGTGAAATTGAAACATACGTCCCCTCAAAACCTGCAAATAATTATTCAGGGCAGCATTATCCATAAGCAGCCAGAAAGTGGAAACAATCCAAATATTCATCAACTGGTGCACGGATTAAAAAATGTGCTATTATCCATTCAGTGGAACTCATTCAGCCATAAAAAGGAACAAAGTACTAATCCGTGCTACAACATGGATAAACCTTGGAAACACTATGCTAACTGAAAGAAACCAGACACAGCAGACTACGTATTATATGAGTCCCCTTAAATGAAAAATCCAGAATAGGTCAATCTAGAGAGACAAAATACACAAGTGGTTGTCTAAGGCTGAAGAGAATGAGGAGATGTGGAAGTTAATAGCTAATGGGTATGCAGTTTCTTCTTGGGGTGACGAAATGCTCTAAAACTGACGGTGCTGATTGCAACACTATGCAAATATACTAAAAAACAATGGATTGCTTTTTTAAAAATGAGACAAAAGAAAGCAGTAAGTCACTGACATAAAATACAACCTTCACAAAACCAAATCAAAGCAATTGTTCAAAAGAACCACAGTTGCTGTTGTTATTAAATTCAAAGTAACGTGGCCTCATTGGTCCTCGTTCAAGAGGGCACCTTCGGTACAGAGGACATCATCTTCAACATGCAGCTGCAATGAATTCAACAATATAACAAAGTCCCACCGGAGTTTTTAAATGTCCTTCACGGTAAGCTAATGGCCGAAAGTCAAAACTCAGTAAAATAAAAACAATCCCATAGGGAGCTGTAACAGTGCAGCTGACAGTCAAGCTTATTCCGAAGATTAAAATCAGAACATCAAAACAAATGTACAGGCCATATATCGTGCAAGCAACCCTCCCTGGGAGTTACCCTATTTTCTGCCACTGCCTTTGAGCTCTACTCTCTAAATATCTCAAGTGTTAACTTCTAGGTTATTACTCTTTCATCAGTTATTCATTAAAGGCAGAGCCAGGCATTTGGTACCCTACCCTCTATTCCTTCATCCCGCACACCCTCCACAGTAATCTCATTCACTCCCAAGGCCTCAAGTGATGAGTCACCTGATTAACATGTTTATTAAGCACCTGACATGTGGCAGGTACTGTAGTAGGCATTTGGGACACATCAATGAGCAACAGAAATAAAGATCCCTGGCCTGTTTGCCCCCTAGCTGAGGGAGGGAGGGGCAATAAACATGTTAGGTAAATTAAGTGGTTATTTTAGAAGGTGATATGTATTGGAGAGAGAGAGTTAAAGGAAATTACAAGTGCCAGGTATGAGACAGGAAGGGACAAATGCGATTTTAAATAAGGCGGGCAGGTAGGCTTCATTAAGAAGGTAACATGTAAGACATGAAGGAGTCTGTCACGTGAACAAGTGGAAGAAGAGCACACCAGGCAAAGAAAGAGCCGGTGCAAAGGCCCTGAGGCAGGAGTATGGGAGCATGTCATGTCCCAAGAACAGCAAGTCTGTCTGGAGGAGAGTGGGCAATGAGGAGGGAGGCTGGGGACCAAGACACAGTGAAGGGGACAGACTGTGCAGGGCTTCTGCGCTCAGCGAGATGGAGGAGCCACTGGAAGGGTTTTCACAGAGCAATGGCATGAACTGATTTCCGCTTTTCAATTCTCACTCTGGCTGCTGCGGGATACAATGAGCGGGGGGCAGTCTACCGCAGTGATGACAGAGAGAAAAAGAATGCCAGCCTGGCCTCTGGGAAGAGCAGGGGCAATGGTGAGAAGTAATTCAATTCTGGATATATTCTGAAACAGAGCTAACAGGACATCCCAGCTGAGGGGGTATGGAGTATGAGAGAGAGGGAGAAGTCAAAGATGTACTGAAGGTGTCTTGTCTGAGTAAACTCAGATGGCGCTGGCTGAGCTGAGAGGAAGGAAGGCTACAGGTGGAGCAGGTTTAGGGGAGGGAAGGAAGATCAGAAGATTGGCTCAGGTCCTGCTAAGTTTGAGGTGTCACACATCCAGGTGAAAATGTCAAGGAGGGACAGGGATCCATGAGTCTCCCGTTAAGGTTTGCAACTCACGTAAATTAAGAGCCATCCGCATTTCTCACGTGACCCCCTTGGACTGAAGGAATCACGGAGGAAGAGGACCGCAGCCTGGTGCACACCAACCCTAAATGGTCAAGAAGCAAAAGAGGAGCCAGCCAGGAAGACCGAAAGCAATGGCCAACGAGGTTGAAGAAAACCAAGACAGAATTCATACAACCCAGAAGCCCAGCGAAGAATGTGTATCACACAGGGGGACCAATCGTGTCAACTGAGATTTAAGGCTAAGACCCGACCACTGAATTTAGCAGCAAGAACAGTCTCGTGAAGTGTTGGCGGCAAAAGCTTATGAGGTGGCTTCAAGGGAGATGGGAAGTGAGGAACTGGAGACCGAGTCACCAAGTCTTTCGAGTTCTACTGAGGAGAGAAATGGGATGGTAGCTGGTGGAATTGAGAATGAAGACAGAAGAAACAAATATATACATAAATACACTGATACAAGAACATATGATATGGAGAAAGGGGGGAGAACTGATGATAGGTAATAGTGAGAAGTGTGTGGGATTTCTCTTCGTGTTGCTTCGGGTTTCTCAGTGCACTGGAAACAAGGTCATCGGCCAAGCGTGAGGGCGGGAGAGGAGACACTGACAGTCTGAGGACAGGGGTGACAGCATAAAGCACACGTCCCGTGGAGGAGAACGGATGAGCACAGTGACAGAATGACTGCCTGGCAGCGTGCAGGGCCTGCTTTGAGTGTGCGGCAAGTCGACCTGATGGTACACTTCTAAAACAACAGCCGTGTCCAGCTGTGTGGACAGAGGTACACAGTACAGGTGGGAGGGCCAATGGACCAGGATTACAGTTTTGTCAAGTGAGGATGATGAAGCAAGGTAGGGACTACGATGACTGACCACAGAATGTAAGCTGAGTCCAGAGGGGAGGAGGACAAGCAGAGGGTGAGGACCCTCACAGGAGCAGGGGCAGTAAGCTGCAGGTCTGGTGGGATGGAAGCACTGCTGGGTAGGAGCTACAAAGGGTGTACTGCACATGGGACGACTCCTGATTGTCCGTCTACAACTATATCTGTCTCGTGAGTTCTTAAAGCAGCATCCAACTAGACAGCCATCCGAGCACCTGAGACCAAGCATATTAAACTGAATGCACCATTTCCCCTTCAAGCCTCTTCCCACTGTATTTCCCCACTGAATTTTGCCTTAGTCCAGGAAACTCCCTTGAATCATCCTTCTCACTACTCTCCGCCAACCCCCACACCCCCATCCTCATGTCTGACCGGTCACCAAAAAGGAGGGATTCAACCACCTTATTGTCTCTCGGTCATTCACCTGCTCAGCTCAGGCCCAGTCGGATTCCTTTAACGAGTTCAGGCTCCCACTCTCTGCTAATACACACACAGTCCCCTAACTTTCAGTTTTCTAGCCCATTTCTAATTAGACTGGATCACATCTTTCTCAAATCCTTAAATGGCTTCTTGCTGCCTTAAAATAAAGGATAGGATCCTGAGATGGCACAAATGTTCCTGTAAAACTCTCCCCTAATCCCACATGCCCTCCGACCCCCTCCAGCATACCTACGTCCGCTAGCATTTTTCACATGATATTTTAATTGCTTACTATCTGTCAGTCTCACCCACCAGGTTGTATGCGTTTTGGAAGGTAAGACCCTGGATCCCTGTCACTGTTGAATTTGAAACCCCAGTGCTGGGGAAAATTGGGGACAAAATCAGCACTACGCAAACTGGCAAACTAATGGTGGGACAGGACCAGAAGGTCTGGACGTGATAACGGGACTGTGGCCACGACTGCTCGTCCCCACCTGCTGCCCAAACACACCCACCCAGCAGCCACAGGCGACACTGAGGCCAGGTTCTTGTAAACACCGCAAATACTTCAACAAAAGAAAAAGATCGACTGCTTTTAAGTGTGCAGAAAGAGATTCTCTAGCATGTGGGAAACAGCTCTGGTCAGGAGAAAAGGGAAAAGTTGATCACCATCACATGTCATTCAGAAATTATTGACTGAGAAGCTGCTGGGGTAGGTTCTATGTGAGGCACTGGGAAGAGAGAGGCTGGGAAAACACAGCCCCCAACCTGAAGGCATTTACAGTCTAATCACATCAATCACTATGTATTAAATATATACTGTGTCCCAAGTGTTATCCTAACCGCTTGACATTTAATTTTAACAATGCTAAGAGATAGGTACTATTTTTAAATGTTATTATTACAATTTTAGAAATGAGAAAAACAAGGCTTAGAAATTTTAAGTAACTTCCAAAGGGCACAGCCAATAACTGGCCCATCTGGTGTGTCTGACTCCAAAACTTTCAACCACTATCCCACTCGACCTGCTTACTGTCAGCTACCAAAACCCTGTGGCGTGAGCTGGTTTTACTTCTTCATCGAGGACATCATCTGCTCTCATCCCTCACTCAGGTGTCTCAAAAGATGCCCGTCCTAAGAGGACAACACCATCTGAACTGCCATCTAAGTACATATGTCCCTGTGAGACAGACCAGGAACCCACTGTGTGACTGTAAGACTGGCTTCAATGTCATGTTATGCATCAGTTACGTCTCTATGTTTTAAATTAATTAACTACTTAAAAACTGGCCTGTTCTCTTTTGCACAACTGTGTCATTTAAATGTTCTGGGAAAAGGAGGTTGGGAGAACTAATTCCTTTAAAGACAAGAACTTTAAGTTGGAAAAAAGGCAAAAGCTTAACAACAAAAATTATTTTACCATTAACAGTTTATAGATTTTGTTGTTGTTGTTGTCGTTGTTTTTAGAGCAGAAGGAAAATGAGAGTCAGGAGAAGGGAGCTTGAGGAGTGGAGAAACTAAGAGACCCAATTTCAAATGGCCTCTTTTCCTTCTTAGAGGGAAAGATTCACTGGCTTGTAGGTTGACGGAACAAAAGAAAGAATACCATTTCTCCATATTCTGATGTTGTAACAAAGAAAGGAAAAAAAGACTCTGGCCAAACTTCCAGAAGCAGGAGTGAGGAGAACAACAGCATCTCCCCTTGTCTTGGAAACAGCACCTGGCTAATTAGACCGACCTGAGGGGCAGGATGGGTCCCCAGCAGCAGCGCACTGCCGGCGGACAGACACGGCAGCAAAAAGCACTAACCCAGGCTGAGTATCAGGAAATCGAGCTCAGGTTTCGGCCCGACTCTATTTCTCACTTGCTGCTGACCTTGAACAAGTCTCGTATCCTCTCTGAAATCAGACAGGTTTACACCCTTTCCTTTTCGATTTCTCACATCACACCTGGTTCTACATCCTCATCCTCTTATTTTTAGAAATCTATTTTGGCATACTCTGGGCTACATGTTCCCTGTTTTTAACACATTCTTTAGTCCCTCAGCCACCTTCTAACAGACTGCCTAAAAAAACCAAAGTAGTGTTGAAATGTGACATATTTATTTTTATATTAAAATATACATTATATTTAAAATGCCAAATCTCAAAACCCTAACATAACATTGGTGGTGCATATTATCTGCCAATTTCTCTGCAATGATGTGATTTTTATAATAGCTCTACTGAAAATAAACAGTACTTTTGGTACTAGCTCATCCACATCTCACGCTTCCTCCAGAGCAGCAGCCACTGATGGAGAAATGTCTCATCTCTGACCGGGAGTACCGACTTACCTACAAGAAGCCTTCTGAGTAGCATAGATGAATTCGCACTTCCCGTGGATGCAGTAACCACTGAGGTTTTCAGGGCAAGGCATGTGGTTTCCAATATAAACATCTTCTCTTTGATCGCTAGCATCTTAAAAGAACATAAACCAGGTCAATAAATAATGGAAAGCAAATTGAGAAATATGGACTTTTCAAAGGTTCTGAGACAACAAATAAATTCACCCCTTGCTGGGTGATTGGGAAAGGAAATTTATCAAACAGGTGGCTAGATAAGAATCAAGGTCCCATAAGGCCACGAACACAGCAGGTAGACTTTTATAGACTCAAAGCATTTGAAAATGTTTGCAAGGATGTGACTATGAGCTACTGTTACTTAAAAACAGTCTGCCAAAGAAATACCCTAAACATCTTTGTTAAAGGCACAAATACAACTTCTACAAGAAAGGTCACCTCCGTGACAGAGAGACGCTGTATATAGATAGCACTGGCTTCTGGAAATTCAGCTTATTCTGACCATTTACCTGGGGGCTATGCAGTTGAGCCCAAAGCACAGTGGAAAGGCAGAGGGTATTCTGAAATTTCTGGAATTCTGAAATTTTAGGGTGAAAGGTTTATTTTTAGAATGAACACGAACATGCATATTCACTCTTTTTCCAAATGAAAATAGTGCTATTTTAATACAACTTTTTTTAGTGTATGTAAAAAAAATTAAAATACCATAGAGAACAAAAATTCTTTAATCACCGGAGATCCCTCTAGCCAAAGCAAACCACCGTGAACACGCTGAGGAATACCTGTTCAGACTTAGGTGTACTGATCTGAACTGAAATGAGCTGATGTGAAGAAAGTGGAAGTATGGTGAGTAATTCCACCGTCAGAAATGGGAAGAGTCCGGAAGAAAAAACAGAAAGAGGCCGGACAGACGAAGACATAGGGACCCAGTCTCCCGAACCAGTCACATCCGCTCATTCCTGCTCTCTCCAGCCCCATCTGTCCCTGTCAGCACTCCCTCAGACTTACGCACGTACACTCATTCACAGAGCCGCACAATTTGCAATGGATTTTTCATACTTTTTTTCCTGGCATCTACACAAATGCATGAATCCTCGACTCTGTGGACCCAGGGTGCCCCAATGTGTGCGGCCTGTCAGTTTCCCGGGTTTCCTGCCGTTTCTGCTGACAGCGCCAGCTTCCAGACTCGGTGTGTTACGAGCTGTGTGACCTTGAACAGACTGCTCTCTCTAAGCCTGGCGTTTCAGAACTGTGCAGTCAAGATCATAACAGGACCTACACGCAGTGGGGCTGTGAGAGGACCACATGGGATAATTAATGCACGTGAGACAGTAAGTCAACCAGCAAGCGCCTTGTGCAGCTAGCAACAAAGCAGCGAAGGCTTATCTCTCCCCAGAACAAATAAAGGTGCTGGTAAAATTTGAAGAATGTTAATAAAAACCAAGAAAAAAGGAATAAAATGGGAGGCTGTGTGCATATATATAGATACAGGTATGTGCATGAGAAGGAGAAGAGCAAGGGCGACGTGGGAACAGAGGTGCCGACTGAAGGAGAAAAGCCGACAACTAAAACTGCAGATTTTGCTGGAGATCAAAATTTACACATAAAAAGAAAAACTTCCAATGATTACTAAGCTTAATAGGTAAAATAGTTTACTTACCCTCCATGACAGGATAACTAAAGCAGTGAGGTTACGTCAGCTCTAAAAGACCAAATTGGTACCTTTTAACCTCAAAATCTATGTATTTATATTGTACTAAATTATGCCTAGAAAACGAACTACGTACACTAGAATTCAAGTACAACCAGTAAACTCATGCTATTTTGTGACCTTGGTCAAACCCTTCTAATAGAGTTAAATGACATCAGCATTGTCCAACATGAGTGGAATACGAGACATATGTAAATTTTGTTTTCTAGTTGCCATATTTTAAAAGGTAAAAATAGGTAAATTAATTTTAATCATATTTTATTTAACCCAATATATCAAATAAATATTTCAACATACAGTCCATATTTATTTAAAGCGGTGGTATTTTTCCACTCCTTTTTCCTTAAATAAGTCTTCGAAATCCGGTAAGCACTTCACACTCCTGCCACATCTCAATCCCAACCACCACATTCCAAGTATGACAGCAGCCACACGTGGCTGGCAGCTACCACGTTGGGCAGCAGAGGACAGATGACTTATTCACCTGTCATTTACTGATCATGTTCCATTTGTCAGGCACTCTGCTAGGTGCTTGGGATAGAAAAATAAGACATATCCTGCCCTCAAATGGCTTACAAGGTCTCCTCCAGCTTCCAAACTCTGCCTCTGCTGTGACGAACGAAACCATGCCCTCCTTCAGGCTGCTGAAATCCTAAGCGCCCACTTGTCTACTACAATACTCGTGATATTGTCGTATAACTATTTGGCGGTTTTTAATTTTATTTATTTATTTCCAGACAGCGGAGAAGGGAAGGAGAAAGAGAGGGAGAGAAACATCAGTCAGTGTGTGGTTGCCTCTCATGTACCCCCTACTGGCGACCTGGCCTGTAATCCAGGCATGCATCCTGACTGGGAACTGAACCAGTAACCACTTGGTTTGCAGGCCTGCGCTCAATCCACTGAGCCACACCAGCCAGGGCACTACTGGGGGTTTTAAATCAGTCTCTACCATGAGGCTGTGAGCTCCTCCAAAAAATCTACACGTTCGTGTTATTCTGTATAACTCCTCACCCTTGGAACAGAGTACTTTTCTTGCTCTAGTTTAAAACTGAGAGTGCCATTCTATGTTGGAAATCAAGCCACAGGTGACTCAAGGGAGCAAGCACTGTCTCCCATGGCTCTTGTCATCCTGCAGTTCCTCAGAACATGGTACGTCCGTGGTGTGACACATGATGAAGTACATAATCCTGGGACTACAGAGACTGGGGGTATGTACCGACCTACAGTAATACAGCCAGCCCTACATGGTGTATGACAACGGGATCACGTAAGTCTAGAGAGGCTGCAGTAATGTAATAATGTGCTACCAAAAAGTCCCAACAACAGCCGAAAGTCCCATCAAGAACAATGTGAGGCTGAAAGCCATCAGAATTCAGCTACACGACAGCAACGAGAAAAAGTTAACGGATTTAAGAGTACAGTTTTGGGAAATTAACAGATGAAGAATGGTACCAACAGCATTTACCGAGTGAATCAGTAAGAGAATGTGGCGTCGCCCCAACCGGTGTGCCTCGGTTCAGTCACCCGGCAAAGCGAAGGGCGGCCGTGTCCAGTCCCAGTCAGGGCACAGGCTGGGGTTGTCGGTTTGCTGTTTCTGTCCCTCTCCCTTTCTCCCTCCCTTCCCCTCTCTCTAAAATTAAACGAATTTTTAAAAAAACAATGTGACACCGAGTTCTAGGCAAAGCAAAGCCAGATAAGACACAGACGTGTCTAGTAAGACTGAAGTCCGTGGCTGTCACAGAATCCAAATTCAGCGTTGTGCTCAACACCAACACTAGACGGTCCATCGTCCGTACTTCCACACTATTCCTGTGCACAGCCATATGCTCAGCCAAGCTACAGAAGGTATTTTTAAAAGTAGACATGATGCCTGCCCTGCAAAAGCTTATAATCAATCTAGAGAATCAACGTATACACACCAAATGCTGAACAATACAAGGGAAGGGGGCCCACATGGCAGTTTATAATTAAATGTCAAAAGGTTTTACAATACATGGTGCTATGAAAATTCAAATTCAAAAGATAATTCCCTACAGGAGACATCACTCAGGAAAGAATTCACAGAGGCTAGGACTTAAGTTAGGCCCCAGAGCACAGAGACAGATTTACAGAGGAACAGTGGTTACCAAAGAGAAGGTGAGACGCACACAACGTTCTCAGAAACAAGTGGCAGATGAACCTACCAAGAGCTGTACAGACTGGGAAGGATACAAATCCAAGTTGGAAAAATGAGGTGAAATCAGGACGAAATATGATTCGCCCTTAAAAAGGAATGAAATTCTGATACAAGTTACAACATGGGTGAGCCTTGAGGACATTATGTCAACTGAAATAAGCCAGTCGCAAAAGACAAACACTGCATGATTCCACGTACGTGAAGTACGCAGAGTAGTCGAAATCAGAGAAGCAAAAACCAGAATGGTGGCTGCCAGGGCTGTGGGGTGGGGGGAGTGAGAGTGGCTGTGTAACGGCCATCATTCCTGTTTTCTGAGATGAAAAGAGCCCTAGAGATGGACAGTGGTGATGGCTGTACAACATCTGAATGTACTCAATACCACTCAGCTGTGCACTTAAAAATGGTTAGATGGTACATTTTGTTATGTATATTTCACCACAGTTTTAAAAACTGGAAAAAAAAAAACCCTCAAAAAGTAAGCCTAATGACAGGAGGTTAGGTAGAGAGAATGTAGCCGAATTCAAATTTAGACCTCCATTCATCCCAGAAGTATTTATTAACCACCAATTACTTTCTAGGCATTGCGGTCATTCCTGGAGTTTCAGGCAATATCAACCCAAACAAAAGGTATGTACAAAAACCCACTAGGCAAATGAACGTAAGAAACTAGTGCTTAAAGAAAGGTCAAGGTCAGAGAACAAATTTTGCCAACATGACAGCTGGGAGTAGATTAACTATTCAGAAGGAAAGTAAGAAAGGAAGCAAGGGGAGCAGGACAGAATTCTGGTGCAGCTGCAATACAAGAGAAAGAGCATCAGCGTTTAGGCTTAGAAAGTCCTTGCTCTGCCAGTCAACGTGCACCACCAAATCTCACGTTCAGCTTTTCTGTCTGCAGAATGAAGATAACAAGGCTGTGGTGAAGATTAAACAGTAATACAAACATGTGAAAGCACCTGGCACACAGTAGGGCATTCAACTGATAATTGTTGAATGGGTGACTACCCCACTGATGTTTCCCTTGAATTATATTAAATACATATGCTATAGAGAGGAAGACCTCTGAGCACAGCCAGGCTACCAACAAGGAAACTAAAAAACAAAAGAACTGACAATCGCCATAACAACATCGATAAGCAACTCAGCAGTACAGCATTAAAGATTCAGAGAAATCCTAGGCAGTAGAAGGTACTGCCCCACTTTGTAGATGTGACGACTGAAACTCCTGATCAGG